GGTTGTCCAAACTTTTCAAATAAAAAGAATCAGAAATGCTGATATATTTTTTAGAATAGCACCGACGGCATTATTAACTATCAAGCAGCGGCCACAAATTAGGATTTAGAAAATAAAAATAAAATTCTACTGTTAATAATCCATTTTAACATAGGTATACTTGTTTTTGCTTCTAGTAAGATGGGGATACTAGTCAAAATATGATTTATTTTAATTAAGTGATTTTATCACGCTTTCCTTTCAATTTGGAAGCTTAAGATGAGCGTCAGGTATTTGAGAACACATTTAGAAAGCCATAAGTGACGACTTTAAATACAACCTGGTCTTTTTTAGACCCACCATGGAATCAAAGATTCTAACGCAGAAAATGAAAAGGCATTACATTTTCGTTGCTTTAGCCAGCGAATCGGACGTATTCTGATATGCCATCCTTTGTAAATGGCGCCAGGTGCTTCGTGTTTGAGATAAGCAGAGAGCTCGTGACCGCTAGTAAGAATATGAGCCAAATGAAACACAAACAGATTCTTTACGGTCAGACATTGTCAGGAATGTCGGGTTTGTTCAATAATAGTATGGTACACGAAGACATTAGATACAAATCTTACGTTATGAAAAGAGGAGAGTTCACATCTCCAATACTATCCAGGAGAACTATATGATTCGGTCGAACCCAATGTATTTCGTGTTTTCTCAGTTTAGAACTTTGTTCAAGATCAAAAAGCAAAGAACGAATGATGGGTGGTTGTGAGCCAGCCTCACTGAAGTCCCCAGTGGCGGTAATGGTCATGGAGGCCGTGAACAATGAGAGCCATGTCACACCTCTCCACTTTTTACGTAGTTATGACACTTGGCATCATTGTCAAGTCAGGGATCGAGAAAGTTGCCCGGGAGAGGCTGTACGCGTATCAGCAATTCTTTGCTCTTCACACAGATTGCAAGACACAAGAATGACTGGTTTTCACGTTTATAATACCCCTAATTGAGACGGGGCAAACAAGCACGATCATATCAAGAACTCGCTGAATGCCGCTATCGAGCGCGTCATGCTCAACATAAATAAAGAACACAAGATCAACGAATGTAACTGCTTTAGAATCCGTATCGACATCGTATTCGAAGCTGTTGGCAGTTTATGCTAAACAGACCTAGGTTTTGTGCATGTACATCAGAATGTGTATACTAAATTCTCTAAAAACTCATTGTTTTCTCTGCTATGTTAAATAATATGATAAATTGGAATTAAAATGTTATCAAATACCTAACACGATCTCTATCTTCGTTTGCTGTGCAAATTTCTAATTTCATGACAACCAAGTCGGCCATAGCTTGAAGCAAAAAGATGAGAGTCCAATTTCGTAAATAAAATAATGTCCACGGAGACACAGCAATTTGCCGTGTTTATCTTTCGATATTTCTCTACAAGACAAGACATGATATTGAAATAATAAAGATTTTACGAGAATGTTATATTCAAGAACAAATATTTACATCATAGAAATATAATACCTACACTACAGCATAAATATTTTAGTGATAAATTTTTATAAGAAAATATTGTCGAAACCGAACGCAATGAATATATTAGATTTAATACCAATGATAAAAAAACATATCTCTTTGCTTCATTTGGCCTATATATATATATATATATATATATATATATATATATATATATATATATATATATACATACATACGTACATATATATACATACATACATATATATATATATATATATACGTACATATGTACATATATATATATATATACATATATATATATATATATATATATATATACATACATTCAGTGCTGTTCGATAAAAGTGACTCAACTGAATTTTATACATAAAGATTTTTTTTCGCCTATTGTTTTTTTGGGGTCAAACAAATATTTAATCTTACTAATATAAAGACCCCTTCCCGACCACCTAGTAAAAAAGTTTACTCACCGTAAGTATTCTATTGATAATTATAATTTTGGATATAAATGAGATTTAGGGAAAAACTCTGTACAAGAAAAGTGACTCACTTATTTCCTGCAACTAGTAATTATTAGAAACATTAGAATAATAGAGGTATAATTTATTTATAATAGGTAATATAGTTCGAAATATCTAATAATCTATGGTTCCTCCTTTATTTTGGATAACCTTTCAACAAATTTTGGCATTGCTTTGATTAGGTTCTGGTAAATCTCATCTCCAAGCATTGAATTCGATTCGGATATGAATTCCACAATCAAATCCTATTACTCAACTGCTTTCTCGAGAGCCTGTACTTTATAATGCTCCATAAGTTTTCTATGGGGTTGAGGTCAGGAGATTAGGGCGGCCATGTCATAACACTCACCTGCTTCTCATCAAAGTATTTCTTCATCAATTTTGATTTGAAACAGGGAGCATTATCCTGCATAAAAATGAGCTATACTTTACTTCAAACGCTATCTGAATTTTACCAAAAAGGAATCATCAAAAACCCAGTCGTTACCTGAATTTTACCAAAAATACAAAATAATCTCCATGCCTGAAGATGACTGAATGTAGAGTTGAAAGTACTTGCGTATTTAAGAAAAACCTAATACAGCTTATAATTGTAAATAACAAGGATCATAATATTCATCGACTGATTATTCGGTTAATGCATTTTGAAATTTTGTAAGCGAAGGGATTTCGCCATTTTATATCATTAACTTTATTAATTTACTTCTTCTATGAATGACTCATTGTAATATAAATTGAACTGCACCACATATTTATATATATATATATATATATATATATATATATATATATATATGTGTGTGTGTGTGTGTGTGTGATTATGTATATATACTCATATATACATACATAGGTACATTGATATCTATATATATGATAACTGTCGTCTCCGTTTTAAGTGTGACCACCTCTTAAGTCTTACGTTTTCTCCTCCCCCGCTCCATATTTGAAGCAGTATGCACCAGTAGATGTCTTTTCAAACCCGCCAAACAGCAGCAAGTCTTACCATACACTGGACAATGTCGATCGTTTTGGTTCCAGTTCCACCGTTCCCCATTGATCAACCGACATGCTGGATTGCCACGGGCGACATTTTACAAAGCCCTTAAATCTTTTCTCGGTTTTTGATACATTTCCTTTGTCTTTCCTCATTTCACTAAAACAATTGCTTTGGCAGAAGACTGTCATCCATTCGAACGACATGACTAGCCCATCGAAGATAACTTTTCATAACCATGGATCCGTGTTTTGGTAGTCTAGCTTTCTCTAATACTTCTGCATCTGAGATATGGGACTGCCATCCAATACAAAGCATCTGTCGCAGCCATCGTTGATGGAAGCACTCAAGAGCCATTATTTAGTGCTTACACAGCGTGCACGTTTCACTCGCAAGAGTCGCAGGCTTTGTAGACTATGACCTTTGTTTGCAGCTTGATTCCATGGCACCCAACACGTTTTTCACGAGCTGAAAATGATCCAGAAGCTTTATCAATGCGCAAATAGATCTCTATGTCAAGACTGCATCCCTCAGCAAGTGCGCTGTCAAGATATACACAGTGCACTCCCCCCTGCTTCTTCTCTTCAACATATATAGTTGGTTCTATGTAGGGCAATGTAGGTGCTGGGTCGTGCATAACAACTGTCTTCTTTAGATTGATCTCCAAGCCGCCGAAAGATTTACATGCATCCGCAAAACAGTTCATAAAACGTAGCATTTCATCTTCAGAATACGTAACAATATCACAATCATCCGAGTAGCTCTCTCGCCAAAGAGGACGCAACCTTTGAGTATGTCAACATTCTACGTATATTGTATACCTTACCAGAAGTTCGATATCTGATGTAGATACCATTCGGATTTCCATAAGAAGCCGTAAAAAGACTATAGCGAAATAAATGATAAAGAGTATGGTTGCAGAAATGTCACCCTGTTTGACCCCATTATCAACAGGTATTTTTTCCGAGAGAGTTCCATTGAAACTAACTCTAGCTTTCATCCCCTTCATGAAGAGATCGAATCAGACACACAAACTTCTCGGGACAGCCGAATTTTAATAAAATCTTCCAGAGTGTTGATCTATTCACGCTTTTTGACAAATCAATGAAACAGTGATATAATGGAAGGTTCTTCTCTCTGCATTTCTCTTGAAGTTTCCGAGCACTGAAGATCATGTCTACTGTGCCACGACCTGCGCGAAAACCGCAGTGATTCGGGAAGTATGCCAATGACAATCGTATCAACTAATCTATCCAAAATGATCCTCGAAAAGACTTTTCCAACAATAGACAAGAAAGATATTCTTCTAAAATTCCCGCAGTTTGACTTTGATACGTTCTTATGTAGTGTCACAAGTATTGCATATCTACAGTTTTGAGGTTCCTCACTTCCCCAAGCATCGTGGATGACCTGCTCCAAAAGATTGATCATCTTCTCACCGCCATACTTAAGAATTTCTGCCGGTAAGCCACCCCCATTCCTGGCGCTTTGTTGCTGTCCATTTGTTTCACAGAGACCTTTATTTTGTCCCAAGAAGGTACTTCATCAAGAGAGACAATTGGTTCACTTTGCTCAATGAGATGAACAAGCTTTTCAAAATACGTAGATACCAAGTTAGGATCGATTACATTTCAAATCGTTTTTTATGTTTTATCAAGAGCCTCGAAATGATTAATAAGAGCACCAGACCAGATATGGCAGCAGTATTCAATACAAGGGTGATTGATAGATTTATAAATGGGGAAGATGGACTCTGACGAGAAACATCTTCTGGCAGGAGACAATGACCCAGCTTTTCTTTCGATGTACACGCTCCACTTCAAGTCTGTGAAAATGGGATGTCAAGAAGGCAGTGTGTGTTGTTCTCCGAGAATCTAGAGGCAAACATGCTGATGACAGGCAGAAATATTTATTAAGTTTTTGATATGTTCTCTACATGTGTAGATTTTCCAAAATGCTGCTATGATATTTCTAATAATTGTTTGCCGCTTTCTCCCACCTCACGTTGAAACACCGGTCCTCATAAGATCTCAGAAATTAAGCTACGTTGGACCTAATTAGTACTTAGATGGGTGACCGCTTGGGAATACCATGTTCTGTAAGCTTGAATGTGTCTGTAGTGTAATGGATAAGTGCTCGAAATTAGAAATCGGAGAGTTGAGTTCTAATTCCAGTCAGGTTCATTATATTATCTTACGTGCAAATACCCTTGGGAAAGGTATGAATACACCTCTTCCCTCCCCAAGCTTTGGGTTGAATAGTAGGACTTGTATCATAATAATTATAATTATCTTCAAAAAAATTCTTAGAATCTAAAAATATTTTTGGCTTTAGATTACCAACAGAAGATTTATAAGCTGCAAAATTCGTCCATCTTGAAAATTGAAAGTTAAATTCGAAAAGAACAATTACCCTAGAATCTTGTCGAAATGCGTTGTGGCGCAAAAAAGACCTATAATATTATAGTAATATAGCTTGTAAAGTGCGAACAATATTTTCCGCCATCGAAGAAAAACCTTGAAAATGAAGAAATGTTTTTAAAATACTGAACCGTATCAGTGTAAATAAACGGGACATTTTCATTTGTTTTAATAAGTGAATATTGCATTTGGTTTTTATACTCGTAATAAGTCTGTTAAAAGCAAGTGTCTTCGTATGTAGACATTTACTTTCCTATATCATGTTGGATAATTACAAAAAAAAAATATTGCTATATTTTTCTATTTCGGTTTTCGCGTCTTGTAGCAAATTTGAACGCATGAAAGATGGATTTAAAGACCAACGTCAAAGGTGGAATTGATTTTAATATCTTCATCCCCAGTCGATAGTTGATATAGATTCAGAGTTTATATAGGAAACTAACTGAAATTGTTACAGGCAAAAGCCGAACAAAATGCCTGAAGTGGACAAATTGAATCTAATGAAAGGAGAAGTAAAATGAATTAAAAAAAAAGAAGCTAAATTTTCAATATTGCTGAGAAGATAAATATACCAAACCTATTTAGGAATGAAGACCAAATGAAATGTATTTGCTGCGATTAGTTCAACAAACGTCGAACTGAAAATCCGTCAAGTTGCCAACTTAAAGGTTATTTTGGAACTTTCTCGTTATAAACAAGAGACGGCCTCCTGTCTCTTTGTAATATGATCAAACCAAAGCATTTCGATCTCGATGCCAAACGCTCAATGTAGTATTGGAAATAAAGCTGATGCAACTTTGTATTTGTTCGTAAATATTGATCTCCCTTTGTCGTATCCTCCCCTTTTTCTTCTAACTACGACTACGAATAGTAGTATTAGTAGTAGTAATAATAATAATGGTAGTAGTAGTGATGAGGAGGAGGGAGCAACACGCCAATAATGTGACGCTGGAGTATAAATATACAATGCCAAGTATAATCATCATAGCACGCAGCCTGATAAAGGTATACCAAGCACATGCATCACAGCCAAATCTGCGTGACAAGTCTTGATAAAAGCAGATCAGAAACATTCACAGTTAGAAATATATTCAGATCGAGTAAGCCAGTCAGCTCAGTTGGTCTTCAATTGGGAGTATTTCCATCTATATTGATGTGACTCTCTAGTCTCCTTGCTCTGCTAATACACTAAAAATACTCAATACCTGGCTTTGTTCCTCCCCAATACTCCTGCTCATGCACTGTGCGTCAGCCTTTATAGAACACGCACAACTGGTTAATATCAATCAACTGACAAGCAAATCTTCATTACTGAACGGAATATTTACTGTAGCCCATATTAATTCAAGACGAAACGTGTATTTTTTTTTTTTTTTTTTAATTTTTTGTAAGCGTTTCACCCCAAGCAAAGCAGGTAACCACTAGCACGCTAGGGGTTACAGAGAGTTAGACCGAGAGCAAATAGAAATGATAGAGACAAAGATGAAGAGAAGGATAGGGGATAGATCAAGGCAGCTGGAGACGTCGATTGACATTACATTTGAATAGTTGGAGATTATAGCTATAAGGGAAACAGGAAAATGGAAGAGAATTCCACAGGCGAGAAGTGCGAGGCATGAAGCTATTGGAGTAGAAGAGACGGCAACATTTAACAATTTCGACAGTGAGAGGGTGTGAGAGAGATTCCAGCCTATTAGAACTCTTAAATTCATGAAGTTTGGGAACCAGCGAACGGAGCAGTTACCATGAAAGTATCTGTAAAAAAAGACAGAGGAAGGCGACGGCATTTCTTTGAGAGAGCGACTGCAGACGAGATGTCAGATCAGGGCCAATTACGTTGCATATCCATCTTTGGATTTTATCAAGAACCTTGAGACAAACAGAAGGGGCACCAGCAATACTCCATGCAAGGGCGAATTATTAGCATCTTAACACTTCAAATAGACTGGGAAGGGAACAACATTATGGACCATGATTATTGTTTGGAATCTTACCAATAATAATAATTAACCAGGATTTCATTATTCCGCTTAATAACAAGGGTAAATATCAGTCAGTCGTTCAATATGAACTAATAATAATAATAATAATATACAAAATAATAATGGACTATTTCATCGGCCCTGGACCCTTAATAATCCTACTGCGTTTGTCACAGGAAATAAGGCCTTTTAACACCCACCATTTGGTGAATATAAAGTCAGTCGTTCATTTCGTAAGTTTCTGCACGGTTGTACATCTGACTGGGCGGTTGAATCTCTTCCTAAGGGCGGAGATCGAATAAGGGAAGGAACCCCTCCCTGGAGACTACGCCGGGTTCAAAGGGCGGAGTCCTAATGGCTCGGGAATTTTTTTACCAACCCAGTCTTTGTAAACACCCTGGGGGTGACTATAAAATAACTGGTTCAAATGATACTTAAAACTCTCTTCCAACATTGGCCGAGGAACCCCTAAATTTGAAGGCGGATCTCCTTCGGGGAATATGGCCCTGGACCCGTTCAAACGGGTTCAAATGGGCTATTTTTGCCGAGCCTAATGGCTCCAGGAATGCCTATTAAAACACCCAATGTTATGGGCGGGGGGTGACTGAATATTGTCAGTGAAAGTCGTTCACCTCTGAACTGACTGCACGGTTGTACTCTCTTCCTACGGGCGGGAGGAACCCGAAGGAGGCTACGCCGAAGGGCGGAGTCTCCTTCGGGGAAGGTTAAATGGCTCGGGGCCCTGAACCCGTTCATACGGGTTCAAATGGGCCTTTTTTTTGGCCGAGCCTAATGGCTCAAGGAATTCCCTGGACGTTAAAAAAGGCCTTGTGCCACATGACACCCTCGCGGGGGGTGACTGAATATTGTCAGTCAGTCGTTCACTTTCTGAGCGACTGTTCCGGTTAAACTCTCTTCCTACGGGCGGGAGGAACCCGAACCCGGGGAGGCTACGCCGAAGGGCGGAGTCTCCTTCGGGAGGTGAAAATTGTCAGTCAGTCGTTCACTTTCCCAGAACCCGTTTATAGGGCGGAGTTCAAAAATTACGGGTTATTTTTTTGGCCGAGCCTAATGGCTCGGGAATGCCCACGTTAAAAAGGCCTTGTTTTACATGACACCCTCGTGGGGGGGGTGACTGAATATTGTCAGTCAGTCGTTCACCTCTGAACTGACTGTTCGGTTCAACTCTCTTCCTACGGGCGGAGGAACCCGAAGGAGGCTACGCCGAAGGGTGGAGTCTCCTTCGGGGAGGTAAAACCGTAACCCTGAACCCGTTTATACGGGTTCAAATGGGCTATTTTTTGGCCGAGCCTAATGGCTTGGGAATTCCCACGTTAAAAAGGCCTTTGTGCCACATGACACCCTCGTGGGGGGTGACTGAATATCGTCAGTCAGTCGTTCACTTTTTGAACCGACTGCACGGTTAAACTCTCTTCCTACGGGCGGGAGGAACCCGAAGGAGGCTACGCCGAAGGGCGGAGTCTCCTTCGGTTTAAAAACCGGCCCAGAACCCGTTTATACGGGTTCAAATGATTTATTTGGCCGAGCCTAATGGCTCGGGAATTCCCACGTTAAAAAGGCCTTGTGCCACATGACACCCTCGTGGGGGGTGACTGAATATCGTCAGTCAGTCGTTCACCTCTGAACTGACTGTTCGGTTCAACTCTCTTCCTACGGGCGGGAGGAACCCGAAGGAGGCTACGCCGAAGGGCGGAGTCTCTCCTTCGGGAGGTAAGTTCGGCCCAGAACCCGTTTATACGGGTTCAAATGGGCTATTTTTTGGCCGAGCCTAATGGCTCGGGAATGCCCACGTTAAAAAGGCCTTGTGCCACATGACACCCTCGTGGGGGGGGTGACTGAATATCGTCAGTCAGTCGTTCACCTCTGAACTGACTGTTCGGTTCAACTCTCTTCCTACGGGCGAGAGGAACCCGAAGGAGGCTACGCCGAAGGGCGGAGTCTCCTTCGGGGAGGTAAAACCGGCCCAGAACCCGTTCATACGGGTTCAATTGGGCTATTTTTGGCCGAGCCTTCAACAACGGGAATGCCCACGTTAAAAAGGCCTTGTGCCACATGACACCCTCGTGGGGGGGTGACTGAATATTGTCAGTCAGTCGTTCACCTCTGAACTGACTGTTCGGTTCAACTCTCTTCCTACGGGCGGGAGGAACCCGAAGGAGGCTACGCCGAAGGGCGGAGTCTCCTTCGGGAGGTTAAACCGGCCCTGGAACCCGTTTATACGGTTTCAAATGGGCTATTTTTTGGCCGAGCCTAATGGCTCGGGAATGCCCACGTTAAAAAGGCCTTGTGCCACATGACACCCTCGTGGGGGGTGACTGAATATCGTCAGTCAGTCGTTCACCTCTGAACCGACTGCACGGTTAAACTCTCTTCCTACGGGCGGGGGAGGAACCCGAAGGAGGCTACGCCGAAGGGCGGAGTCTCCTTCGGGGAGGTAAATCGGCCCAGAACCCGTTTATACGGGTTCAAATGGGCTATTTTTTTGGCCGAGCCTAATGGCTGGGGAATGCCCACGTTAAAAAAGGCCTTGTGCCACATGACACCCTCGTGGGGGGTGACTGAATATTGTCAGTAGTTCAGGTGGAGTCAAGAGTCGAGTCAGAGGCAGTCCGAAACAGAGTCGCGTTCAGACAATTTGCAAGACATGGAATAGTGATACTGGTCGAGACTACATTGTTCT